CCCCCCCAAAAAAAAAAAAGAGTATTACCCAAGCTGGGCACCTGTGGCTACTCAGGAGGCTGACATCTGAGAATCAAGATCTAAAGCCAGCCTGGACAGGAAAATCCACGAGACTATTTCTGATTAACCACCAGAAACCCAGAAGTGGTGCTCTGGCTCAAAGTGGTAGAGCACTAATCTTGAGCACAAAACTCAGGGACAGTCCTTAGTTCAAGCCCAATAACCAAAAAAAGGAAAAGCCAGGGTGATGATTCACACTTACAGTGCCAGGTGTGAAAAGGCAAAGACTGGAGGATCAAGAGTTCTAAACCAGCTGGGCGCTGGTGGCTCACACCGGTAATCGTAGCTACTCAGGAGGCTGAGATCTGAGGATCGCCGTTCAAAGCCAGCCAGGAAAACGTGAGACTTTTTTCATTTCTCTTTTTATTATTATAAAGGGGATGTCAGAGGACTTAAAAGTCAGGTAAAGAATACATTATTTTTTTTCCATCCTGGATGTGAAGCTATGGCTCAAAATGGTAGAGTACTAACCTTGAGCAGAAAGCTCAAGGACAGTGCTCAGACTCTGAGTTCTAGCCCCAGAACCAAATAAAAAAAAGTTCCAAACCAACCTGGCCCACATATGAGCCCTTACTATGTGGGCGCTTCTTAGGGGCTCACTCCCTCCCCCACTGCAGGTCACGTGTGCACACTCTGACTAGGAGGACTGTTCCACGCCCATCTCAGCCTCTCTCTTCCCTGACTGAATAAATGGTAGTAGTTTCAATGAATTCTACAGTGAGGCTTTGGCTGGTGGTTTTTTGTTTTTTGGTGCCGGTCCTGGGAATTGAACTCAGGGCCTGGGTGTTGTCCCTAAGCTCAAAGCTAGTGCTTTACCACTTGAGCCACAGTTCCACTGTCAGCTGTTTGGGTTTTGTTTTTTTGTTTGTTTTTTTGGCGTGGGGGCGGGGAGGTAACTGGAGATTAGAGTCTCACAGACTTTCCTCCCCAGATTGGCTTTGAACTGTGTGATCCTCAGGTCTCAGCCTCCTGAGTAGCTAGGATGACATCCATGAGCTACCGGTCCCTGGCTCCTTCTGGTGATCTTTCCTGAGGGGATTGTTTGTACTTGCAAGACTTGTTTTCTTCAACCTGAAAGGTGTGCATTATCTCCTGCACACTAACACTAACCAGGATGCAAAGCCGGGGCTTGCTGCTCAACACGAGGGCAAGGATGACACACACACACCCTGGAGAATGGAATGGACTCAGCCATCTGCCATCCTGACACAAGCAATCATGCAGGCCCTGCCATTTCCAGACACAGCCTTAGCCTCCTGGCCCAGGGCACAGACAAACCCACTGTCAACTCTAACCCAGACGAAGTGCAGGCTGGCGCAGGCAGGCCTGGAGTGACTCCATTTTAGTCACGGTGATCCTTCACTGAATAACTATGGGAGCTGTCGGCTGGCCCCGCATTGCCTGCCTCTGCTCGTCTCCCCCTCCAAAGGAGCCCGAAGAGCCCAAGCTGCACTGCTCCAGGGCTTGAGGCTCAGGAGCCGCACTGGGCCTGGGCCTGGGCCTGGCATCAGACTAGGGTCGGAGCTCCCGCTCCAGGTGGGGGCTGCAGAGCGTCCCGTCAGAGACAGTCCTGACATTGTGTCGTGCAGGCCCGACGCCAGCCGGTGCCATCTCCCCGCCTTGGCATTCCAATTGCACACGGGGCAATTAGCATTTAATATCTGGCAATTAGCATGCTTAATGCGATTCTGAGGAGTTCCTTGACATTCTCTTGCACACACGGCGGTCCCGCCCACCGCGCAGGAGCAGGACCCGGCCTGTCAGTCCCGCCGGTTCTGAATATGCATGCGCGCGGCTCGCCCCGGACGCGGCTGGTAAATTTAGCACCTCGTCCCGCAGACCCCGGCTCGCGGCTCCCGCTAAATCCGGCGTGTCACGTCGCGGCTGTGACACCCGGCAAATTAAAAGCCCTCGGCGGCCCCGACCCACCCGCCGCGCCCTCTGTTCAAGTCCAGCCCGCACCCGAATCCGCAGACGCGACTCGGGACACGTCCCATCCGCGACGTGGCCCGCGGCCCGCGGCCGCCGCGGCAGCGCCCCCGATATGCTCAGTGGTGGGCTGCTACATCCTCATTGTAAGAAATGGGAGCTGGGGGCTGGGAAGGTGGCTCAGTGGTAGAGCGCTTGCCTTGCATGCATGAGGCTCTGGGTTCGAT